CCTTCCAACCCTAACCATTCTATTACTGTTTTATTTATAAAACATACTTATTTACTGTTTTAGAATTCTGGAGTCTTACACACAGAATTAGGGAGCATTTAGCTTTTAAACTAAATTTCTTGGCCTAGCAAAGTGAAAACTGATGTTCATGACTTCTAGGCAGGTACTTCCACAACTTCAAAATAGTCATTGGGCACAATCACGTAGCCTTTTCCTGCCAATATGTCTTTTTCCTTCTGAAACTGAACAATCTCCCTCAGTTTTTCAATTTGTCTTTCCTGACGCCGGCACCGCTGTTGTGCTGTCTTGAGCTTCTTCCGCAGTTTTTCCACTTGTTCCTCCAGCTGCTGAATTCTTTTTCGCTGATGAACTGTATCTTCTACAGTATAGTTGTGATCACAAAAAACAGCAAGATTGCTAGGGGTCTGGAGAGGAGGCATCAATAACCCAATACTTGGATCGACAAACCTGGCATCTATTTGAGATAAATGAAAAGAAGGAGTTGATGGAGATGTTGGTAGTGGAACTGGAGCTGCTGCTGGAGGGGGCGGTGGCGGGGGAGGGGGTGGTGGTGGAGGAGGTGGTACTGGACCTTCTGGCTGTTCTGCAAACTCTTCAGGCTAGAAAAAACAAGCAAAAAAGGTACATTTTCATGCTTAACATTGTTTACAACACAACTTCCTTACTACAGCCCCAGAAAAACATAAGCTACCAGGACTGAAATTCATAACAAAATTTCAAAGCCTACATTTTCAAAACTGACAAAAACAGTTCTCGGCCTGTTTTGTTTGGCTTTTAAACTGGAGTTATTTTCAAGCAGCTTTGTTTTCAGGGCTCTTTGAAATTCAAGTCCTTGGTGTCTGAAATAAAACAAAAACTGAAGAACGTAGAAATCACTTTCACTTGAAGACTTAGGTCAAATACATATCCACAAGTAGCCTAGTCACAAGAACGCAGGCTGCAGTTCCATAAAATAGAGTTCAGCTGACCTAATAACTCCTCACTGCGATCCCACTCCCCTCTGTCCCTCCCTCTTTCTGCTGCTTCTTACCCTTACATACTCTGAACTGGTCAGCTAACTTAATCAAAAACGTAGCTGAAGAAGATAATCCTCTGTTGAGCTAGAACAAGGGTCATCTACTGAGGAGGCTGATAAATTGGTAGAGCAGACAGGTAGACACAGCAAGGCCTCCATCTCAGCAACTGGAAGTGACTGTGTCACTGGTTTCAGGCTGCAGCATAAGCATTTGGTTTCCAAAGACATGATGAGCCAAAACAAACAGCTCTTTGAGAGCAAAGGAGCCCTCCAGCCCTGGTATTTACTCTTTGCTCAAACACAGTAAGTTGCTAAGATGACAGAAAGCTATTCACTCTCCCACCGTCACTGCAGAAATCTCCTGTCCTTTAGTAAAAGTCAAAGCAATGCAACAGGAGGTACACCTGCGCTGGTGTGTGGAAGGAGTGAGAATCAGGACGGCATGGCTGGCAGATAGGATGGAGCAGGGAGAGGCACGATTCTCCCTTTTGGCAGCAGTAGAATATTGATTGGCTCAACTCCACATGAAACTGCAGTCTTTATCATGCTGCTCTAGATAGGCTCATTTATACAGTTTAGGACAACACGGATCCCTCATCATCTGAGTACAGGCCAGAGCAGAGAATCTGAATCTTTCTGCCCCAAAAGAACACAATATAACTGAGAAATGCTTCTGGGCACACAATGACCAAAAAAAACCCCCCAAAAAAACCCCAAAAGCACTGTTCAAACAAAAGTTTGCACATTGCCTGTCAAAAAGACAGCCCAAGACATTCCCAACAAAAAAAGCACTGAACCGATTTTGAAAACTGGTATCAGGTATTACTTTCAAACTACCAGGTATTAATTTCAAACTTTCCCACTAAAAAACTATACAAGACAAAGATGTAATTGACAAAGAGAAATTCACCCGTGTTGGAAGCGCAAGCAAAAATGAAATCACTGCCAGACAGCTGAATCTACACAAAGACTTCTATTTGCAGCTCACCCAGCACATGGCACCTCTATAAATACATCACTACTGTCACAATTTGTCATGGAGAACAGATAGTCAGTATCAGTGACACATCATAAGTGAATTCTAATTAATTCTTACATCCAATAAGTGGTTATTCCGAGACTTAAGAAAAAGAATGCATTTCGAATCACATAATGCAAAAGACAAAAAGCTGTATTTCAAAATCAGTGTGGATTCAATTCCAAAACAACCACTACTTTTCTCCTTTGTTACTATGTTATTTCTTGAAGATATGTGACAGCTCGTTTAAAAGTGCCATGAGACAAACAGGAATAGCACTAAATCCTTCTCTGTAACTATCAGGTACTCTTTTGTGTTTCTGTACACCCAGGCATGATAATGAAATGGGGAATGCGGCTCACCACTAATCCTGCTGCACCGATCAAACTTTTGCAATTACCCTATACATCCATAGCAGGGAAGTGCGATCAAACAAAAAATTTAACACAGATGTAGTTACCTGGAAAGTGTCTTATATACCTTCTGTTTATATCCTCTTCTCTGTTACTATCCACTTCTAATTTTTCAAACACATTCCCTTTTTATTTCTCCATCAAATCCAATATTGTGCATTAAAAAAAAAAAAAAATCCAACAAGCAGAAGTCCCAGTTTTCCTTTGTGCACTTCATCCCATAACAGTCTTTCACCCCTAGACCCATCACATCCATTCTCTCTTTTGCCACCTCCTCTACGGCAGAGTAGCAAGAAACGTAATATTTTATATCCTTTATAGAAGTTAAGAGTCAATCTTCTCTGTACTTGTCCTGCAGTTATTACATCCAGAAGGAAGCACTCGTAACCTTAACTGCATCCCACTTCAAGATGCTTTAGCAACACCATGAAGGGAACAATACATCTCACAGGAGACTGCCATCAGAAGTTCAGAGAGAGAAGTTAGGGACCAGCCTGGCTTATGAACACATAGGCGACTATTAAGGCAAGACAGAGACGGTTTGAGCACAGACGGGTAGCAGGTGCAGCTACTGTTCTGCCCCTCTGGGTGCATCACACTTCTCTGCAAAGCCAGAGGGCAGAGCCCTTTAAATCGGATCGTGAAGTTTTAAAACTAAGGTCCATGCTCTCTTCAGTGTTAGCAGGAGCCACCAGGCAGCGTGGGAGAGTACAGTGCACTTTGCAAGTATTATTGCAGGCTCTCCACATAAGCCACAAATACAGATGAACAACTGAACTACAGGGCAACACTTTGTTACTTTGCTGCCGTACCATTCAATTCAGCACAAGGTTTTAACTGAAGTTACACCACTCAGGCTTTGGTGTACTCACACAAGAGCGGATCGAAGCTACTGCATGTCCGTACAACACTCTGCCTGCTCCAGAGCCTCGGACAGCTACATCTCCGCTCTCGTCAAAGCGAATGTGAGCAGCTCGTGGATGCACTTCAGCCACCTATGCCTCCACGTGCCTCCAGGTGCACAGGCTCAGCCTGTATATTTCACAACCTGCATCCTCTCTCGGCTACTCTGCTACACCAAGCTGCATACACGCCTTCCACTGCCTTGAAACAGGAGTGCTTTGGGTTTACCTTTTCACTGGGTTCGGTATAACAAAATATTGTGGGCACAGCATTTTCTTTCAGAAGCTTGTTGTTGCATTCCCTTTTAAAGCAGTCAGGAGTGAAGTGTTCTGAGCAGATGCTGCTATACTTGGTTGGCTTAAAGTTTTTCCTTTTAACAGCGGCTTCCCATTTCTTGCAAAGATCGGGTCTGGTGAGGGGAAACCTGTAAATAAGAAACACTTTCAGCTTTTCTAGAAAGATTTTTGACGCGGAGTCGGGTTACAGCGAAGCGCTGCGCTGACCGCCTGGCTCTTCTTCTGACGGGCTCACCGCCGGCGCCGAACCCCTCCTGCCCCCCTGGACGTGCCGGGCTGGGGGTCTCAGCCCTCCGAAAACCCGGGGGGGTCCCTCCCCCTGAAAGGCGAGGGGCATACTCCCCGACTTTCCTCTGAGAAACCCCTGGGGCAGGGAAAGCTCGGGGCTCTCCGCGGGCGGCCGTTGCGCTACGCC